CCCGAAACCACTGCCCATCTGTTCTAGTAGCTGTTTAGTTGGCGACTGTTTTATTGTAAATCATTGCTGTACACAGTGGCTGCAAATCACCTAAAACATACAATTCAGAAAACAAAAGCAATGCCAACACTCCATAGGACATTTTGGAAATGCAAGGCTTGGCTTTTCATAATGTGTAGTTTTTTTAGTTTGAGTTTCATCTCTTGAGAATGCGGTTCACATGAAACATACAAAGTGCTCAAGTCCCTAGAAAAACGTGAAGGTGTCTACATACTCAATCGTCAGTCTGAGTAGTCTGGTTAAAGCTGTGGTGACCTCTAAGGGTGGCAAAGGGAACCCCTTCTAGGGTCTTAAGCAGTACTGACCTCATTCAGGCCATGTTAGTGTTATACAGGTATTTTTACAGGTAGTTAAATGGAAAGCTCCTACAGTTACTTTACTTGTGTCTTTGTGCTTGACACCTCTTAAGGCTTTGATGTTTTCCAACAAAACATGGATTAAATTAACACCTGATGTACAGTTATTTATTTTAATCTTTTTTTTTTATTGACATTGTCTTCCTTTATGTCTTTTGAAAGGTGAGGTTTTGGTACCACCTGTCAAATGGCGCAGCACTGTCAGTCTTCACTAGGACTGCTCTGGGTGGTGATTTAAGGAAGCTAGCCAACTTCACTCAGCCCACAATGAAAGCCTGGATAGATGGAATTGTAGATATAGAGCCCACCTCCATGGAAACCAGAATTCCCTTCCAGGTAACTCTGAGGAATCTAAACTTCTGTGACTCTTTGGTTGTTTCATGATTTCCGTTTCTGTATTTTTTACACAAACATGCAGTATCTACTGTACCTCTATAGTGGTTTTTAAATGTGAGTTTGAACATCCAGTAATTTGAGTTAGTTGTAATTTTTATTTGTAGTTCTTTTTGTTTGTTACAATTGCTTTTATTGTCTGTGATTAGTATGCTCATCTGTTTCTCAGATTTGAACTGGGATTGAGATAAGTTTTGTGATTCTTGTTACAGTGTCTGTTGACGTCCTCAGCTACCATATTAAACTGATTTTTAGAGAGTAAAAGGTCAGGGACATAAGGTAGATAAGAGTTGTAAAACTGCAAGTGGTATTCTTTCATTTAACTAATATAATTAAATTCTTAAATGCTAAAGTCTCCTCATTTAGGTGGCACACAAAATGCCACGTTTAAAGTTGTGCCCAATTTGCTATCATTCCTACAGTATGACCTCCAGATAACTTTTCTCTTTTCCTTACCTTGCTGTTTATATGCTGTGATGGGCTAAATTGACACGTATATAGTTTAGGCAGATCCCATTTGCGGCTGTTTAAATGTTCTTTTTCTCAATTAAGTGAGCACCTCAGGCTCATTTTCATGTACATGGATGAGTGCCTGATTGATTGGAATTACCTTGCCATTTGGGCAGTGATTTAAACCTTCCCATTGCATGCCAGGTACCCCTGCAAGGTCTTCTTCCTGTCACAATGCCAAATAGCAATTAGGGTGGGAATAGCAAATCAGACAGAATACTAATAACAGTGCAGCTACTTAAATATAAAAAGGAGTTACAATACCAGTAAGCAGCTGTGTGGACCTAAAACTGGTATGAGCTCTGGATTTTTCACTTGGGATATTGTACTCTTGAGAAAGATTCTTCACTGAGAACACGTTAGTCAAATTCCAAGCTCTAGAAATGGGAATATACAGTGGGCCACTCACATAGGATAAAATGATCTGCCAGATAAATTAATACTGATTGTTGATTATTGGACTTCTTAAAAATAAAATAAAGTAATATTGATATTTGTCTTTTGGAAAGCATATAGCACACTGGCATCTTTCTGACAGAAATGGTTTTTCTTGCTTGCGGTTTTTGTTTTTGTAATTAGTACATTTATTTTTTAGATTAATAAATCTTAATAAATGAAAACAATAGCTTATCAAATTAGTTTTTAATATCACAGACAGATTCTAAAGAAACCCATTCATCTAAATAGATTAATTAATCTAGAGTCAGCTCAGAAGGCTTGCCACTGTCTTTGGTGTCCATATACAGAATATTAGCACAAAGCACAAAAGGCATTTGCAGAGCTTATTATGTATCATATGCACCTAATCCTTCAAACAAAAGAAGAAAAGAGCTGCTCTCTAAAGCTACACAGTGTGCAAAAATTAAACTTTTGTGCTGTTTTGAAGTCAAACACTTACAGTAAGTAACCACAAATTCAGTAGTCAACAGCAGCATTGGTACAACAGTCCGCTCTTTGAGCTCTGTTTGGTAGTTAAACATTCAATAAAAGGTGTTTTCTCATCCAGGTGTTTTTTGAAGGATATCACCTTCAACAACATGGTTGGGTAACTTGCTGCATATTCCATACAACCCTTTGTGTAAAGAGGGTTGCATTCTTGATTTTAAATGCCCTTCCATACACGGTTTACTGTTTGTGACATGGTTCACAAGCCAACAACACAACCTAAAAAACGATAAACCTGCTAACCTTCTAAACTACACAGAATATGACCTAAGGTTAAATCTCCGTCTCCATGAATCTGGATGGTATAAAGTAAAGGGAAACTTTACTTTACTTCTCCCTACTTTAAAAATGCATCCATGCATAGGACAGACCATACTTAGCATAGAGAATAGGGATCAAACTTAACTCAACTCAAATCTGGTCTGAAAGACTGACTTGAACGAGAATCTCCCTGGCCAGTCTCTTGTCTTTCCTTATATCTTTCTGTCCATCCCATCTCCTTCCTTCTCTTTGTCTCTGTCTTTTTATCCTTTCATCCTGGACTGTTGATGACTATTAATGATTTACCAAGCACTTAATTAACCAAAGTAAACCAGATGATTCCTTTCATCAATATGTCTCAGACCCAGTACAACTCAGTAAAGACCTCAGTTCCTTTCATACTTTGAAGCTTCAGAGAACTGCAGATATTGACAGTAGCTAGATGTTAACCATTGTCTATAAATTCTCAGACAATCCAATAGCCCCT